TACTGCTTTCTGGGTTCATCTGACCTCACCTCCAGCGCTGTGAACAGGCCTCCTTTGCCCCACCAGCCCGAGTCATCTGCACAGACATGGTGTCTTTTCATGTGTGGGACATGCAGAGACACGTGTGTGCGTGCGACGCGCTGTCTTACCAGCACGGTGGAGGATGATAGCATCTCCTTTAGCAGCGTGCGGATGAGTAACATCTCCCAGAACGTAGCGGATCTCTGTGACGGTCGAATCTGCGGAGCGCATGCTGCTGTCATCTTCCTCCTCTTCCTCACTGTCCACAGCCTGCAGACACAGGGACCTGTAGCCACAGGACTCCCACCAGACCATTCTAAAAATATAAAAAAATAAAACCAGAAGACACTTACATATCTTTGTGAGTTCTGAGTAAACAGTTTAGAAAAACGAAATATTTTATTTATTTATTTATTTATTTATTTATTTATTTATTTATTTATTTTTGCTGTTTTTGCTCATGTTGGTGTTTCTTCATGTCCTCCCGTGTCTTGACTCTCTTCCCTCCTCTGACGTCACAGCTCCGGCTCTGTCTCGGAGAGAGAGGTTTCCTCTTCCTTGCTGGGATCACAAATGCTACTGAAAGTAAAACCTAAAAAGAAAAACAGAAAAAATGAACTCTTATAGGGATATTATTCAATAAGCACAATTTTTAAAGGGGCTATATCATGTAAAATCAACTTTTTTGAGTTTTATATCATGTTATAATCTCATCAAGAACATGTCCAGAGTCTTGCTTTGACTCATTCATGCATGTTTGAGAAATCCTGCAGTGTCCTGAGGCAGCKAGGCAGAGGAGCAAAAATGACRCGTTGGGACTAGAACCACGTTTTGGGATCAGCTCCGCCTCTGGGCTGTGTCTCCAAGCCGAGCATCCAAATCACAGAGTGATCACAGAATTTTTGGTTTGTTGTGTTGCATGTTTTTCTGATTTTGTTTTGCTTTGAGGTGACACTACCATTCCCAGTTAGAGATGCCCACAACAGCGGCGCAGGTGTTTTCACTTAGCTTAGCAGTGTGCAGAGGGACAAGGACATCAAAAGAGGCAGTTGGAACTTTCTCTCCAGAGAGAGGAGTCAGAGCGAGAAAGACTGCGGGTGCGGAAGCAGCAGTGTGGCGAGGACTGAATGACTGAGGGACTGGGTGCCGCAGAGGTTCATTCCCCCTGGTCGCTGTCGAAGAACGGCCAACCGGTGTCGGAGTACCAGGGCTTGGATCGCTGTCAAGGAGAGGACGACCAGTGTCGGAGTACGAGGGCTGGATCTCTGTCGAAGAACGGACGACCGGCATTGGAGTACGGGGGTTCGGACCGCCGTCGGGATTCGCTGCGGCCGTGGAGGATCGGTTGGCTGGCGACAGAGTGACTGAGCTCGGAAAGGACTGCGCCCCTCTGTTGGGCCAGCTAAGAACATTTTTTTTCCTACACAGGCTTGTCCTTTGATTCTGTTGCACCTTATTGCCTTGCAGCATTTTTTTTGGACTCYTTGTTTTTGCTCCAAATAAATCATTAAGTTTTATTAACTGACTCGTCTACTGAAGCTCTGCTCACAGTTCCTGCAGTTTTTTTTAATTAGTAATCTGCCACTCGGATCCCACAGAATCTGGCGTTGTCTGTATAGGATTGCGAGCAGTATTTTAATAGATTTTGTTATATTTTTTAAAGAAAAAGGGACAGAAATTTTTATTGTTTTATTATTGTATTGTATTTTTTAAAGAGAGAGAAAATGATGATGCCCATTTATCCTGGTGCCCCATGGATCCCTAAATTTGAAGGGCAAAATCATGGTGCCAGATATAATGAGTGGAAGGAGCAAATACAAGGTCTTTTAGATGCAAATGATTTACCTGAAGCACATAAAGTAAAGATTCTGATTGGTGTTTTGTCTGGGTTACCCAGATGCCAAATCAATGTGCTTTGTGATGATGAGCGTGATAAAGTAGCAAAAGTATTTTCAGTTCTGGATGACTTGTACATAAAGAAGGTTCCTGTGTCTGCTTTARGGTCACAATTTTTTGGTTGTGTGCAGAAACTGGGTGAGCCTGTTCAGGCGTATGGGCTCCAGTTGAGAGAGCTGTATCGAAAACTACAGAAAAATGATGCAGCAGAGGCACCCACTGATGCCCACCTTAGGGACCAATTCCTGCTTGGCCTGGAGGATGGTACCATGCTTCAGATGTTAAAGCGAGCTGTGCGTGTGGACCCTGATGCAACCTTCAGTGATATTCAACAGGAAGCTCTCTTATTGGAAGAAGAACAAAGTCCCAGATGGCCTGAGGTGACATGTGCTGTGGTAAGGGACCCTAACCCTGTTCGATRTCACCAACAGAGTGACGTGTGGAAGCAGGATCTGACAAAGGAACTCATGGAGGAGGTGAAGGCCCAGATGAAGGACCTTGCCCGTGAGTTAATTAAAGACCAGAGAGCAYCGGGTCCAACAGAACCACCAGTACACTCCAGGACTATCCCTCCACATCTCCGGGGAAAATGGCGCCAGGACCATCACACCAGCTACCGATGGGACGAGGGTAGTAGGCCCATCTGCAGGGTGTGCGGACAACTGGGTCATGTAGCCCGGTTCTGCAGAGAGCCCTCTGTAAATCAGCCAGCTTTAAACTAGCACACCCTACTGTTGAGGCCCATGCAGTGGGGATAGGTCAACAAGACCATAGGGCCTCTACAAATTTAGTGGGGAACTGCCCATTTGTGGATGTTTCTGTGGGGGGAATTGATTTGATGGGACTTTTGGACACTAGCTAACAAGTGACACTGATGCAACAGAACCTGTTCCTTGAACATTTTTTTGACCGCATTGTTAATGATGTTCCCACTTACATCCAGCTTAAGGCGGCYAATGGCCTTAAGATCCCCTGCATAGGCTATGCCCTAATGGACCTAAAAATTGAGGGTGTTGATGTTAAKCAAAAAGGTGTTTTTGTTGTGACAGATGAATGCTCCACAAACCCCTTCATTATTGGCATGAATATAATTAGACCTTGCTGGGATGTGGTTTTTCGTAATCCTGGGAGGCCCTTGTCCTTTTGCTGCTAAAACACTAGGTCCCAGCGGGCATGGCAGAAGGCTTTTTCCCTTTGCCACAGGACAGCTGTTGCCATGGAGGACGAGTTTAAGGGATATGTCTGGCCAGCTCAGCGATGAGGAGTCAAGATTCCAGCAAGAAGCGAGGTGGTGATCTGYGGACGAGCTCGAGCAGGACCAGCAGGTGGAGARTACTGCGGCCTGGTGGAGGCCCTGGAGGAGCTTAATACTGTCTCAGTGGCCTGCACCCTCGCTGTCATCAGAAATGGTAGGCTCCCTGTTCATCTGAAAAATTTGAATAACTTCCCAGTCACCCTAGGGCGTTACCAGAAGATTGGCTGCCTCTACCAAGTTGGCAATGTAGATGTCCACGGGGGTCGAGATGTTGACCTAGCTGTCGATGATGATGGTGTGGTACAAGTCAGGCTGGTGGAAGCTGTGGATRCCCCAGAGGAGGGCCAAAGCTTCAGCTTACAGAGGTTAGTGGAACAACCAGTGTTGACACCTGTCAAAACTGGTAAGTTGACCACCCTATTACAAAAGTAGGAGAAAGTTTTTTCTAAACATGATGAGGACTTTGGTCGGACAGATGTTGTCCAGCACACCATTCCAACGGGAGATGCCCCCCCCCCCCCTACAAGGGAGAGGTTCAGACCACTGCCACCATTCATGTACAGCTGGTAAAATAAGTATTGAACACGTCACCATTTTTCTCAGTAAATATATTACTAGAGGTGCTAATGACATGAAATTTTCACCAGATGTCGGTAACAACCCAAG